GTAAAGAATAAATTACTGTGACCTTCGAAAGTATATAGTGTAACATTTTTCTATCATATTAGATATTCTTTTCATATTTTATTTTTTATAGTTTGTTTTTAATTTCCTATAGATATAAAATTTATAATGTCAATTTTGATGTAATATGTACGTAATTGGTATATATGTACATGTAACTAACACATTGCTTGCTGTTTTCCCTGTTCTAAAACAATCTTAAATTTGCTCTTTGATGATGAAGAGTTTTTTTAAAAGACAATCGGACAGATTTCACGCCCGGTGTTCATTCCCAAAGACACGGGCTAGAGTCACGCCCATCCGTATTTCAAACTACCTCGTTTCCAAGGTGTCGCCATACTAAAATGAAAGCACGCGCACAGCGATGGGGTCCGATCTGTATTTTCACACTTCTTAACTCTGAACACTGATTGAGCATTTATTCACAAATCATGAACTCTCTTTGAAAACTCAATGCCCACACAAGACGATTAAGATCGCCCTCTCAGAATAAAGGTCCATGCAGAACTGATTTAGAATTTCACCTCTCTGATCAATATTCAGACTTGGTACAGTACATGTGTGGTCAAAATGATCATGAATTGGCAGGAATTTTTTAACAAGAATATTGTTTATCGACAATGTATTTTGGTTTTCAGGCACTATTGATAACTAATTAAGAATAATTTTATTAATTTAATTAAATAATTGAATTTTTACAAAAGTGAAATATATTTAAGTAGTATGACCATAGTTTGAAGAGGGCGTCAATGAAAGAACCTTTTATTTTTCCTCTGTATACGTAAATTGGAGATAAAACAGAGGCAACAAACACAAAAAAATATTTTAAAGTTTTTTTATATAAAATAAGTTATAGCAACATTTTATTAATTAAATTTATTTCCGCCAATTTTGACAATGTATACATTTGAACATATTCTTTTGTTTTGCAACGAACGGTTGCAATTAGGCTGCGTATGCACAAGTTCCAGTCTTTCAGCTATTACTTCATAAAATGAAATTTGGGGTCATTATGCGAGGGTTGTCCCAGAAAATAAAATCGAGACCTTGTTCTTTTTTTTTTTGTTTTCCTTTGGCATGTACGTCAATCAACTATTTTTTGAATACTATATAGAAATTTAAAAAATATATATATCAGTAAATAACATTTTTCTCTCTGTCAAACGAATCTTACAAAATAGCTATCGGTGCAACACTGACGACGCCAAAACTTAGCTTGTGGCGTTTGTAAATTTATTCATGAATCTATTCATTTGAAGCATAAAGGTCTTAATTTCGACAGTGCATTTCATTTTCTGTTAGTTACCAAGTTATCCATCTCACACTTACTACAAATACCAAAAGATTTCAGAATTCGTTACTTAAAACATCTCCACGTATTCTGTCCAACTCCTAACTTTTCAGTTTCTCTTCATTTTTGTTGCTCTACCAAACGCCTCTTCCTGTGGAAACAAGTCCAACAACCCTTAAAACCTCTTTAACCAGGCATAAACCAGTGTCTGAGACATGTGATTGTGTCGGACATCGTTTCCATCTCTTTTCCCATATGGACAGGAGATATTCCCCTTTCAACACAAGTACTGCGTGACAATTTGTTGATCCGCATTTATCGCCCGCTGTCGCTTTTTTTTTTTTTTTTTTTTTTTTTTTTTTTTTTGACAATATCTCACAAAAAAGTGTCATAATTTTGTCATTTGTGATGTCAAAGAAATGATTTTTACACATTAGTACTCCAGATCGTAGAATTTATATGGATGTAGACTTTGTCACATTATATTTCCGGATAGCCTGAAACAAACGTTTATTGAAAATGCAATTTCATGAAAGAAGATGGGCGAACAAGGCGAGCGAAATGCCTATGGTGCAAGAAATATGAAGGTTAAAAAGTTAAATGTCAATTATAACAAAAAAAAAAAAATTGATATTTTATCTAACAATAAGGTATACTTTCTGTAAAATCTCAACAGTTTGCACAATTTTCACAAAGATTGAAATTATTTGTCTTTGAAATAGCATACATACACAGTAATGGGTGCAAAAGGACCATTTTCTCCTATTATAACACGATTTTTCCATATGAGTGGGTTTTTTTGCTTCATTTTTTTTTGAAAGACTCCCTCAAAGTATGCGTAAAAATATACGGTTTTTTTTGTTAACAAAAACATTGAGAAACGACCCACTATACCTTAAAAGACACTTTAATGACACAGCATTTGCACACTTCCGAGAAATACTAGAAGTCCATTTAGCCAAGGGTCATGATCACAAACATGATTTAATTAAATATAAATGCCGCTATTTGTCTTGAGCTATGTAGCGTAATGGTTAGTGTGTTAGTTTCAAAGATAAAACTGACTACTTGGGATTTTTATTGCTGGGGTTTGAACCCAAAGAATACCACATTATTATTATTTTTTAAATAATAGAATAATTTTTTTGGAGGAAATTTTCCGCAGAAAAGTTTTGTTTGTCATTATTTCATGAATTTCAATAATAAGAACTTTACTCTAAATACTAAATTCACAACATGAATATGATTTTGATATATCTGAAGCTACAGGCATTCTGCACGCATTGTTATCCCATCTTCTTTATATTAAAAATGCTGGTCATTTTGTTGTTGTTTGTTTGTTTATCTCCAGCATCTCATGTGTTAGAGATATCATTTTAAGAAAGAGAGCGAGAGGGTGTGGATCAACGTTTGATTATTGCATATTATAATATATATGATATTATCAATATATTATATTGGATTATTACAGCATCGCTCAACAATAAACATAAATTCTCACAATATTATTTTGTCCAGCAATCTTAAAGGATTTAAAATAAGAAAAACTTAACATTTTGAGACATGTGCAGAAGTTGATGCATTAAGTTTAAACAGTTAAAATTCATTCATTAATATCGTCTTTTAAAAAAGGGATGGAAAACGAGAGTTTAATTCTATCTGATGGCTAAAGAAAATCATTTCTTGTCTCGCTGATTTCCTCCAGAGTTTCTCTAACAACTGATCATAACGAACGATGTGGAAAAAGATACTGATAAAGCCTGAATGTCGAAAAAAAAATTAAAAATTCAATGTTACATTGGTTTTATTGTAATTTTTTTAATCTGATTTTGAGGAAATTGTCTTATTAATTTAGAATTAGCCATTTTTGTAAAAGCATTGGACCTGCGCGTTACATCAGAAAACTTCTCCAAGTTTATGACAATTTCATATTTGACCTTTGGTCTTTATTCTTTATATATGACCTTGACCTGATATAACCCTTTACCTTCACATTGTCGACACATGAAATTTCTATTCACGCAGAGTTCCTTAGTCGTCTATCTTGGTGAGAAAAACAATATTCTGTTGCAGAAACGAGAGGTTTAGAAAGGAGCCCTCTTCGGGTGGGCGGGTCTTTATAAAAGTTTGTAAATCTGGGAATAACAAAGTTTATATTAAAACACAGCATCTTTCAATCTGTTGTTTTATCATAAAAATGTCATTTATAGGCTGTATAGGTAGGCAGTTCAAGTTGAAATAATACAGAGGAAATAATTGCAAAATCATTGTGATGACAATCTTTAATTAATTACCATTTAAGATTTTATGAATAAAATATTAATCATGGAATTAATACATGATTTATTTATGTTTCAATAAAGTCACCGTAACATTTAATCACCTTGACTGAATTCTTCTGATTGAAGCAAATAAATCGTTTTTCCCATACTTCTTGAGATCGACATTTGTAAACATAGGCTATTTAAAACAAAACAGAAATTAATAAATAAAAATAATCACCAACTTTTATTATAAGATTTGATTAATATTCATGCATGTACCTGAACTGATCTTCATGAACTTGGTCAGAAAATACTTTCAGTTAGTATTATACCCCTTTGTTTTTATCGCTCATGTGATGTTCAAGTCACATGGTCCACTTGCATATTTTTGAGTAGATTTTGGCTATCATGAAATTTTTCAAACAACTATGCCACTGATTTTTTTTCCTTAAATTATGAACTTAAATTAATAATTTATTACTGCCTAGAGGTTAAAACGGGTATTTACATTTAGGAGAAACGAGAAGTCGCATGCTATGAGAAATGCACATTTAAATATATTTTATGATTAAATTTTCTAAAACTAATTTCTTATTAAAGAAGGGGGAAAGATACATTACTTGTCATGAAGAATAATTATCCAGGTGTATGTATAGATCGAAACGAAATATTTTTCTATTATCAACTTTTTTTTCACGTAATCCCTTGTTTTGACAATGTGTACACATCTAGTTTTGAAACACATAGCACGATTCTGATTGGTTGCTTTCATCTCCCTGTTTACGACTTTGATGGCACATAATGCAGCTTAATATACCGTGCATCCTAAAATTTGTCGAATACTATAAAACTGTATTCTTTTGAAATTTTCTTAACACAAGTCTTGGCTGACCCTAAATTTTCAACTAATTCAGATAGTAAATACAGCAATGCCATGTATTAGTATCATATTTTTAATTGCAATTATCAAAGTTTACAAAAGTTTTCTAATACTTGTAGCAAAAAACAAACAAACAAAACCAAAAAAAAAACAATTAAATACAAACGATACAGGCAATTTCTTCCATATGTTTATTTCACCAACATATAACACAAACGGAGAAACAGGTTCCACAACTAGTGCTCATGAGTAATTTGTTTAATTAAAAAAAATAATTGAATGCAAGCGGAGCAATTGCTTTTTATAAATCGTTCACTGTAAAAGGTTGTTTATTTCATAAAAAAACTAAACACAGAATAACAATTCCAATGAATGGTAACACATCTGGCAAATATACCTGAAAGGTTGATAATTGACACAATGTCATAATGTACATTACATTTGGGGGGGGGGGGCAACCCCCAATACTTTGAAAAGCGATGGTACATGACAGTTAGGGACATTTTTATTTTTGCATTTCTTTGTTTCTTTTTTTTTCAGTGGCTCGATGCCCAGTCAACAGCACAAGGAGATCTGTACGTCCTGCCAGTGTCCCATTGAGGACCGCTTCCTTCTGCGGGTCATGGACCTACCCTGGCACGAACAGTGTGTCGTCTGCTCTGTGTGCCAAACACAACTCACACGGACATGTTTTCATCGCAACAGGCAGTTCTTCTGCAAAAACGATTATGATAAGTATGTTGTGTTGATTGTAGATTTTAAACATAGATATCTAGTCGGGGGAGGGGGGGTCTTATCTTATGCATGTGGGTATATTTGGTTATTTGGATAAAAGGCGAAGCTGTTTACAAATGCATGAATTTCCATATTTCCAATGCATACGTATATAAAAACGAAAAAAAACTGGACATTTTTTTAAATGATCTACATTACAAACTTTTAGAAATGTGCACACACTTTTTCGGATTTTTTACAGTCTTAAAATCAGTTATTAGTGTAAATATTTTGCAAAATTCTTGAAATTCAGAATTTCAGTTACATTTCAAAGAAATTCGGAATATTTGAGGTGTTAAAAACGTTAGCGAAAAATTTTGATATGATTTATTCAAGAATTCTCTTTCTTTACGTTCACAGAACTATAAACAGAGGTCACTTTTGAGTTATTCTGGGATTGTCTTCCTGAGATTGCCGGGCTTTTGTTGTTCGTTTCGACTGTCAGTGTTTATAAAACTCTGCAATAAGAAACTAATATAATGAGCAATATCGAAGACAGCCTGCAGCAATCTCGACTTCAATATTTCTTGTTACCTTAGTTTCCAGAAAGAAGCTGACACTTCGATGTTTATTAGAAACTTGTAATCGATTCTGAACGGCCATTAATTCTTCATGGTTACAAAATACCATACCACCATTCTAGTTTATTTCTTATTGCACTGAAATATTAGCAATTTGACAATTCTTTTTTTAAATTATTATTTTGAGGAAAAAAATGTAATCATATAAATATGATTATTTGAAAACAGTGAGTTTATTCTGAAAGAATATTTCTTTTTTCTATTATTTTTTTTATTTTATACAAATACTTCAACATTCAAATTTCACAGAAAAGAAACTTTAATTCGCGTGCGATTTTCGCTAGGGTTCGCGAGAACCTTGGCGTTACGCAAACCAGCTGTATAGTTAATTTTACTAAAATGAAGCTTTAGTTTGCAAAAAAAAAAAATAATAATAAATAAATAAATAAAAAATACATGAGTCTGTTTTATTGCAAGTATTTCAGAATTCTTTTACGACAGAATAATAGTGTCCTTTGCAATAAATTACTAGTGTTCTTTATTAAAAAAAAATACTATTTTCCTTTATAAAAATCACGCTGACCTTGTCCTAAAAACATGTAATACATTTGATATGATTTTTCCTAGTGTTTGTGGTGAAAGTTATAGGATCCATTTTATTGAAGTATGCTTAGGCCATCTTTAAAAATATGTTTGCTTGCCCTCTCCCGACTCAGGATTAAAATATTGGGTCGGTAGGTAGGGAGAATTTTTTTTCATTCTAAAACATATGCGAATATGATGTTAAAATAGTTATTAATGGAATCAGAAAACTCAGAGATGAATTTAAAAAAAAAATGATTGTTTTCTGGAGGTTAAAAAAAGTTTTGAGTCGGAGCATTTTTAGTCAGTCGGCCGGGAGAGGGCAACCAAACAATTTTTTAAAGATGGCCTTACTCGATTGTACAATAAAAAAGATTTTTTATGATTTTCTATTTTACTCGTTATTCCTTATCTTTATTCAATTCAGTAATCAATTCTAATAATTTAAGAGAGATTTCTGACTTTGGTTTAAGTCGAAAATTGTTTAGATTTCGTCTTTTGTTGAAAAGGATGTTACATAAATTACTGAAAGCCGGAGTCTTTCTCTCTGGCAATATAATGTGATGTAAAACATACCATAGTTTGTTACTGAATTTTTTCTTCTAAAATGAAAAAAAAAAAAACAGAGAAAAAGTAATACGTTGCTGTAAAAGAGTGAGTTTTCTTGTGTTGTATCATTGTAATACAAAATTTAGCATATGTATCCTCAAATGAAAAAAAACGATACTTTAGAAGCACCATGCATAAGCACAGTTCCATATTGCCAATTTACACGTAGCTATTTATTTATCCCCCCCCCCCGAAAATAAAACGCAAAAGTCAAAAGGGGGGAATAAATAAATAATAAAATTAAATAGAATTTTTAAAAAGAAAAATTAAATGAATATAAAATATTTTTAAAAGTCATTAAAATGTACTTTATAGCATAATAATGAGAAAGAAAAAATAAATAAAGTATAGACGAGATAAAATTCGTGCATATATTTATGTGAAAACTAAAAAGAATAACAATAAATTTTGACAACTTGTAAATAAATTTATTTGACATTTGTATAAATATGTGTGAATACATTAATTATAGAGAATAACCTTTACATAATAAATTCCAATCTGAAATACTTTAAAAATATTATCACCTGATAAACAATAAGCGATATAACTAACATCTGTTGTTTATCAAAGTATTTTTGCTGCCTTTTCACCTTTACTTAAGGGGGCCGACTGGGGTTTTCATTGCGCAATACTTCGCGCAGCATTGTAAAATAAAGAGTATTTACACTTTTAAAGCAACTATTTTTACATAATTTATAACAAATATCAAATTTAGGAAATCTCACGTTAAAAAATCTTATTACGTTTTTAAATAACTGATTTTTTAAACGATTTTTGAAATGATGTGTAGATAGCGTAATATGTGTTTTTTGACGTTATGAATAACCGAAGTTCTTTAAGAGGAGTCATTAATTATGTCATAAAATACAAAGTATAAAATACTAGTAGATGCTCTTGAAATTTTAAACATAGCAAATTGAGAATCTCACAATCATTTTTATTATCTTTTATGTAAATCTGTGGTATTTGTCATGTTTTGTAGTACTACATAAAAACAGGAAAATATCATGAATTTTGACATTTTGAGATGCTCCCTCTGAAAACCAGACGGTAGAATTTCGTGTTTCTTGCATAAAATGTACAATATAGTATTACTCATCGAATAATATAATTTGAGCAAAAAGTCTATAGTAGCATTTGTATGATTTGCTCCGAAGTGCGAAAAAATAGCATTTTCCTATATAATCCTATAGTAAATGTACCTTTATTTTGAGATGGTCCCTAAAAAATAACCAGACGGTAGATTTTCATTAAACTTGGCATGTATACTGAAGTCAGTGTAAGGTACTTATGGTATAAAATTAAAGAGTTTCTCTGTAGTAGTTTTTACACAATAAAACCCCAGTCGGCTCCCTTAAATGTCGTTTAACCAGAGTTCATGATGAGGTACATTACTAATATTAATAACAGATGATCATGGCCAGAGGTTTTGAAAGAGATGGTCAAACGAAGGGGAAGGATAGAGGGGCCAACCATACTCTAGTCACGATGTTTAAAAAAATCAAATCAAAGTATATTTTTTTTTTACCTGAAGCTTTTCTATAGAATCTATTTTAGAGTCTATTGTTTAGTCTATAGAGAATTTAGTCGAATAGTATGCTTAATCAAATTGAAGATGAAGAACATTTCATTATTCACTGTAGCAAATTTACAAAGGAAAGAGAGGACCTATTTAACTTAATCTCATCTAAAGTAAAAAAATTTTACAAAATCCCCTGATAAACAAAAATTATTCTGGATTCTAATTTGTGAGGAATTAGATATATTAAATTCTCTTGTGGTTTTATACATTTCAGTGGACTTTGAAATGAAAATGAAAGCTTAATTGGCATTTTCTTCTCGTTCCATCTGAAAGTGTTTGTTTGTTCATGTCCTAACGTTATTAAACATTCTAAGTACATCAAACTAATGCCAACATGAATTTCCAATATACAGTTAAGGCATCTCCATACTCTTGCATCATTTCAAATAATACAGGCATAACATCAAAAACCTGCAACAGCGGGGATTAGAGCATTATCCATTTACTATTGAATAAAATGTCTTCGATTTCCATTTCTAGATCATTCGTCAATTTAAAATAGACGATTTATATCGCAAATTAACAATAAGTCGAGATAAAATGCCTTGTTCGACCTGAAAACGAACTGCTTCTGCCATCACTAAACCCTAGGTTCTCCAATGGATGCGGCAAAGATATTCTTTAAACATGGCGGACCTTAATGGTCTGATTTCCGTGTCTTTTGCTTCTGCGGAGTGATATCTCGTGTCCGGACCATTTGGCGTGAATTCAAATCCGTCTTCACTTCTGCAACAATTTAAGTAGCGATTGAGGATGTCTAATTTGGCAGAAGACGTTCACACTTCGTTAGCAACACAGGCGGTGTCACTTCATGTTCAGATTTGTTTTGTCGTGGGGCTACTTTTTGTTTCTTTTGCTTGAGTTCTTTTCTGTCGTATGTGAAAATAATTAATGTAGATCTAAACTCAGTTGACTGCAAAAAGAACTTAAAAGCGACAAATCATCCTTGCTTTTGTTATCGATCCTCTTTTTATATATCTATTTAGGTAAGAGCGCAGTCCAACACGAAATTACCCAGAACTGCCCCCTTTGTTCCAGTATCAATATTATAATAGAACATTTCTACTTTTTTCATGAAAGACCATCTAGATACACCGATGTTTTTTTTTACTCTAGGAAAATTATATATCATACAAAGATGTAAATATAGGGCCATTTAATTTTCAAGATAGGACACCTGCCATTTCCCCCGGGAAAAAAATACTGAAATCACTGTTCCTTACTTAAATGGGAAAAAGTACATGCAAATAAACTATTCAATAAATTTATCTATGCCAAATGAAATGTATAGAATGCTGACTACTACACGTTAGATTTCAATTTCTATGGACAGATATCACTCTAACTGCATGCATAAAGATACCATGGAATTAGAACTCTTTCGTGTGCAATGTATAGAGGGTTCTTAACTTTCTTATTTAGGTTGTTCCGACGGGCGTCTTGCAACGGTTGTGGTATGTTTGTCATCCCCACAGAATTCGTGATGCGGGCGAAGGGTTATGTGTATCACCAACAATGCTTCAACTGTATTGAATGTGGACAACAGCTCCGCCAAGGAGATCATTGTGCAATAAAGGATGGACAACTCCTCTGTAGTCTCGACTTCGAGAAGGAAATCAACATGATGGGTTTAAGCCCAAGAAGTACGGAACTTTTTTTTTTGTCGGAACAATCTTATTTTATAACATTTGATGTTAGTTGCACAGGTGGTTAAGGACAACCCCCTCCCGAAATAGACCCCCCCCGGGCCGTTTGGACTTTTTTTTTTCTAAAAATCATCATTTAGTGTCATATTTGTGAGTGGTGGTGGCGTCTCCATATGAGTGAAAAAATACCCGAGAGGGACATTAAACAACAAACAAATAATTCGAACTTAAAACAAACATCTTATAAATATTTATACCCACTTAATATAAATAAATCTACAAGGAAAAAAAGTCGAAACGGCCAGGGGGTCTATATCGGGGCGGGAGGGGGTGGGGGGGGGGGGTCCGGTCCTCAAGCACCTGTGGTTAGTTGTGTTGAAAACATATCTCTGGGTAACTCGAAAGAAAATCAGTTTGAGTGCTTTTTTGTTCTCTCGACATGTACTAGTATTTATATATACAATCAGTCTTATGATATTCTACATTTTGATTTGTGTTAAGGTGATGGTTCAGATAGTTATGAAGACGGAGAAAGCGATTGTGGGAAACATCCTAAGAGACCTCGTACCATTCTAACAACCAGTCAAAGACGGAAGTTCAAATCTGCATTCGAACTAAACCCAAAACCTTGCAGGAAAGTAAGTGTAATCATCTAAAATATATCTACATATCAAAAACATTTTTTTGTCTTCTTTATATGTAATCTATTCTCTCACAAAGGTACGTGAACAATTAGCAGCGGAAACCGGACTAAGTGTAAGAGTTGTCCAGGTGTGGTTCCAGAATCAGAGGGCAAAGGTTAGACAGTACAGAGGTGTTATGCTGAAATATGAAATGTTATTATTTGAATTGATTTAACCAAATAAGAAAATCATTGTCCTTCAGGATTTAAGTATGTCCTGGTATAAATTTTAGGTGAAAAAATTGGCACGTCGTCAAAATCAAGATGGTAGCAATTCAAAGTCAGTTGCACAAACAAAGGGTAAAGCTGAGGGTAAAGAATGCAAGTATGAACAAGATGAGGATGTAGATCAAGGTGAATCAGACGCTTTATCTAATTTTTTCGTAAATGAACTCAGTTTCATAATCCATCAATTAAGATAATGCGTAAGTTGGTTTAATTAATGTTTCATATATATATATATATATATATATATATATATATATATATATATATATATATATATATATATATATATATATATATATATATATATATATATATATTTCATTTGTCATTTACTCTTGATAACGATTTTCCCCATTATACAAGAGTTTATTTAAATAACTGTGTCTTCATTTTTATTTTGTCTTTATTTAGATTGTCTGCAGAAGTCAAGAGATGACGAATCAATAAGTAAGGAAAGCGTTTTTGGTGTTTATTCTTTTTTCCTGAAAAAAAACTAATCTTTTACCACGTAAACTATTTTCCCCTTTTTATTCTTTTTAGGCTCACTAATATCGGAGCCCCACCATAACAATGTGGAACAGATATCCCCTCTTCCGGCAAGTGAATATCATGGTACGTCTTTCTCTCTCTCTCCAAGGAATCAAACAAACAAGGCAAAATAAAACATGTGTTGAAAATATTGTGATTAGTAAGATAAAACCAGCATGCCTATATCAGTGTGTCAAACAATTTTTATTTGCAAAAATTTATCGTAATTTTTTTTCCAAAGAATATTTTTTTCTTTTAGCAATACATATACTAACATGATTTTTTTATCGTATATTTTTTCGTATAACTAAGATGGCTCAATTTTTGGATGTTTCATTCTTCAGAGCCATTTCGAAGTACCATCGATCTGGGTCGAAAGGGTTTGGATGACGGCATGAGTTGTGTGGATACAATGTTTATGAATGGAGGCACGACTCCACATTCACATTTAGACAGTTCAGGGGTTCCGAATCCGATTGACAAACTCTATTCAATGCAAAACTCCTATTTCAGTGTTGAATAAAGAATGATTGAGAATAATTTCAGAAAGTGACAGAAAGTAACTTCTTTACAATTTTGTTGAAATGGATATTGCACAATTCAGATTTAAGACTTTCTGGAAAACTTAACATTGTTAAGAAAATTCGGAATTTATACCATGTAGGTTGTGTGTTCATTTTACTTGGTACAGCTTGGAACATAGTTTGCAAACTAAGTGCTACACCATTTTACATTAATCAAATCAAACTCTAATAGACTGCAGGGATATGACAAGGAGACGTCCTAGGATCTTTATTATTTTTATTAAAGCAGTATTTAGTGATATTTAGTTGTAATGCTAACATATGTGTATTTATTCTGTTTGTCTGTGATATTGATTAACTATTTGATTATATTCTTTGTTAAGCATTAATATACTTCTAGATATTTATCATTTTTGTTCAAATTACAACTTGGTTATAATTCAAAATGTACATGATTGGAATAAAGCCCATTCATTACTCACTACAAATTTATATACTGGTACACTAAAAAGGTAAAGTAAAACCATGATTTCATAAGAGAGCGCAATTCTTTTCTAGGTGTCTTACAATTTCTTTAGTTTTTTTATTCCTTTTATATGAATCATGATAAAAATATGACTTCGTGGAAGTAAATATTCATCTCAAGCTTTTTACCTTTATCATACATTTGCTCTGATCTTTTACTAATTTTTTCCTAAATAAGATCCATCTTGGTTGCATAGCGATGTATCAAATTTGTTCTGTAGTTATTTAAAAACCTTTGATAGTTCGGTAGATCATCTTAATGTAATACACATGTAGCCAACCTTGTTAATGAAATTTGTAAGGGTATTTAAAGAGTACGTTTTTCAATTTTCAAACTACATATATCTGAATTTTTATACATATATACATAGATTTTCTTCTTTTCAGTTGGAAAATAACACGAAATTATGGAGAATCTCACTCGTAAGACAGCTATAAATCATTACATGTATTTTTTTAAATTTATATTTTTTCCCAAATCACATTTTCTAATGACACCCTTCTAAGATTTCACCGAGTGAGGGTGACAAAGCAGGCAAAATTACTGTTTCTAAACAATATACTTTTAGATAGGAAAAAATAAATATATCTACTTTCTAATGCAACGTTTTCTGAAAACTATATTGCAGAATACGCAGTTCTTGTTATTACTAAATTGTATGTTAAACAACAAATATGTTACATCGTACAAAAGTTACGCTCATATGTATTTCACGAAAAAATATGTTCTGGAAATGAGAAAAATGTAAAATAATTATAAAACATCGATATTCAAATCAATTGCAATTGAAGTTTTGATTGTTATACATGTTCAACGAAATTAACACCAAAGACTGAAACCCATTAAGAAGCATATTATTATCATTATTTTATTTTTTACAACTTGTGTACAATGAATTCATGTCACGTGATTATGTTATTTTTGTATTTGTTGTATTGAAACATTAAAATGTAAACGGTCCTGTACATTTTTCATTTTTTCCTCCTAATTTTCTTTAAAAAGTTACTTTCAATATACTTAAGCAACGTTTTATAACTTCTAGGGTGTTTATATGTAGACATAAAGGTTATTATACCGTTTGGATGATCTCTCAGACAAAACAATAGTGATACATTTCGGAAATGCAGATACATATTCATTATGCAATTCACGATGAAAGCTGCCGAACTACCATTTTTGAAAATTTTAACATTGTCAGCCCCTCTAACACCAACTTAATCCAAAAACGCTGTAAATTTCGAACATTTTATCCAACGAAATCGAGAAGGAAGATCTTTTAGTATCTCGTTCTTAATATTTCACTGAAAGATTCCTTATTATTAAAATTTCCCATTCATAAAATTATCACAGTTTGATAAGAGGTATTTGGGTGGCCGGGATATTTGCGTTGTCCGCGGGCTTATGTCTCTTTGGATCGCCGGGGGCTTACAAAAGGTGTTAAAGCACAATAAAACAGATATCGATGCGGTGTTACGAATTATGTGACCACGACAAATGAAGTTATAACCAATTGTGTCTGACAACAAATAAGACTAAATCCCGTACGATTTGTCTGTGTCAGTTGCCAGCATTTCTTCGCGATAGAACTATGTCGAAGAAACTATGTTGGAAAACTGTTTAAACTTTGTGATAAACGACACACTGCTTCTCGTGATCGTTGTCAATTTTTTTATAGATATATTTACTACTAGCTCTTAAGGGTCATTTGTAATAGTATCTAGACATCACAAGAAGCAACCGATACACTTTTTCGCTATGCAGTTGACCAAAAATGTTTTCCCCACAACAGCTATCACTACATTTTTTTTTTACCTTTAAGCATATTTCAGACATTTCTCTTACCCCCCCCCCCAAAAAAAAAAACTAACAAACAAACAAACAAACAAAAAATTCTAGTACGTTTTGTTTGCTATAGACAATAGAATAATATATTGCTTTTGTTGCATAACTTTCTTCTATTGTAGACAATATTTAGGGCTACCGTCGAAAAAAAAACCTCCCACTTTTTCTGCAATGAAGTCACTATTTTAAGTACGGGGGATTCATAAAACACTTTGATCCAAGCATTTATTTCCACGTAAAGGGACAGATATTTGTTCTGATGAGTTTTATGGACTTCGTATCAGTTTTAGGTCCATGAGGATGATAAGAATATACCTAAATCAGCGCACTTCAAACAGGGTGTCGCTTTCACATCCCTGTTTAAGACCGATCGCACAGTGACGTCGTGTTATATTCTGTCAGTGGCCTGATATATGGGGATCTATTGGGGTGGCAGCTTCTCTACCCCCTCACCTGTTGCTATGATAGGTAAGACACGGACAGAATCGTCGCACCTTTATTACAGGTGTACATCTCGACCTCTAACTTAATGTTTACAATAAACAAATACAATTCAGTTAAAAAACTTGAGGTGTTTGAAATCATGAACACATACTTCTTGTAATAATATACTCTTTTAAAAAATCTTTCATAATATATTGCGAGTATTGTTGAGAGAAAAAAAACAAAATAATTCTTATAAAAGGAAAAAATAAAAAATTGCTGTCATAAGACAGTAACATTCGAACACAAGTGTTTGCCTCAACATGTACTCTCCTTCGTACCTGGGTACCTAGTGAAGACGTCAGAATATATACATAAATATTGTAGGAAAACATTATCTCTGCTCCCAAATTTGCCCCCAGTGATAAAAATGAAAATTCTTAAGTTTTATTGTACATATACAGGACATCATCAATTAGAATTTAGATTCCAAAAGATGACTTGGCTACTGCTTGATGCAGTAATGAACATGTATTAGAGGAGTTCTGGGAACCAATTTGCCCTGAAGCTTAAGATGATAATGAAAACTCTGGAAAAACAAACAAGCAAATCCCATCAGCATGTTCAAGATATCCATTGTATTCAAAATCTTAAAAGTTATCTTTGAAAGATCAGTGTACAAGAAATTTTGTTTAGGCATAGAAATTATACGACAGAAAATTCGATACAATATTTCTTGTGTTTGACAAAGAATAGCCATGACGTATTTGGAAGTCTCTCGGCGCCCATGGAATCTTGTACAGAGAAATGGTAATCACAGTTCTCGGCAGGATTATACTGCTTATAACTTTCATATTTTAATTTGATTCTGGATTGTTATTAAAATACAACTTTTGCCAATATCGAAATTGTTATCACTCTTACATAGGAACTCAGGTGTTGCCGATTTAGTGTCGAACGTATTGTCCCCCTTAAAAATCGAAGATTAATTACAGAAATAATCTGTTGTTGTATCCTTTAATCTCTGTCCTACACCTAGGGTGTCAGCTGTGATTTGAGTTTAATCTATAAGCATTGTAAAATTAACTTTTAATCGCATTTAACTATGCTTGTGACTGAGAGATTCTTTTCTCGGAGTTTCACCTTCACTAGGACAAAATGAAGTAGTCTGTTCACATTATTGTTATTAATATTCTGGTATTAGATTCCTACGTGTCGCAGTATTTTTGTGATTTTCTGGATTATTTCTCTGATATAAAGCAAATTTTGCCATGCTGTTGGATTTGTTTCTGAAATTAAGACCTGCAAAATATTTGTGCAATTAGATATTCCCAACAATATGTCGCTTTATCTACAGCAACATTTCTGATACTCGTAAATTCACACATACAGTCCTTAAGGTCAAAAACTAAAATGAAATAGTTATATAACTGTAGATGTTCATGACTATTGCAGAATTGAATGTCAGAAAGAAAATACAAACCTAAAACTACCTGTAGCAAATCAGAGATAAATATGTCTGAACTTTAATATCAGAGGCAGGAAACCTGAACTTTAGATTTCATTCTATCTTAATATTGTTGACAAGTCTAGTTCCTTACAAAATGTTTATTCCCCAATTTTATTCTACGTTGTAGAAATCGGAGCTCTACTGTGTTCTTTGTGTGTGTGGTTTTGTTTTGTTTGTTTTTCGTGTGTGTGTGTGTTTTGGTTTTTTTTTTTTTTGGTTTTTTTTTAATTATATTTGTTTGTTTTGATTTTGTTTTCTTTGCGTGTTTTTATTATGTTTTATATAGAGAGAATTAAGTTTACAGATTTGGAGACATCAATTTTCTTAGATATCAGTGGTTAGGTATAAATATAAATATTTTTAATTCTTTCGCCCATCTTTTTGTCAAATTTATATTTTCTTATAAATGTATTAAAAACAACAACAAATACAAAGAAACAGTTGTACAATAACATTTCATATGCAAGAATCAGAAAGCCGACTTAACCGCTTCGCTTTAAGACCCGTATCGTGTCTAGCTATTTCTGATTTTTCAATCATGTAGTAATCCACCTTTTCCATATCACATGGGTAATTTACATCTCACCCTGTGGTGGCTCTTTAATATCCGCTTCTTCTTTTAAAAAACACGCGGAGGTTCGCATAGAATTGAAAGATTTTCTCTCCAACTTTTTGTTTTACCATGACGTTGAAAAGCT